CCCAAGAAGCATATTCAAGCTCAAAGACCAAAAAGAAAAAAAACGTCCGGAATTACCCCACTCTCCCTTACCTCCGGGAAGAGCTGGGACGGAACTTGAGAAGAAATCAAGAAGAAGAAATGCTGGCCTTGTATGAGAATTCGTACAGCTCTGCGGAAGCGGCAGAACGGCGAAGCAGACGCTCACTCTCACAATTTTTTCATACTTTGTGCTTGATTTCTTCTCCTCTTCCGTTCTAGCTTTCCTCCTTAGTACCCTGATCATCATGACCATAAATTTTAAGGTAGTCCTGGGTAATCCTGCTTGATCCAAAGGCAATCCAGGAAATTTTATTTTCTTGTAATCCGGACGTAAGGGAGAGTGGGGTAATTCCGGACACGGGGTAATTCCGGACACTTCGATTTTCACTGGGTTCGAGTGAAGATAACTCAAAAGCCCGCCTAACAGAGGAAGAAAATGATAATTCCAAATCTCCAAGGTAGGAGGTCAAACCGTTTGGCTGTGGTCGCTTCACGAAATTTGAGTACCATCAAAAACAGGCGAAGCTGCATCTTTACCTCGTATTTCCAGTACTATCGTACCTTACCGTCAAATTCAGTCCCATGACTAAAATTTTGCCATATATATGGTCATTGGACTTTACTTTGGCGTTTCGGGAGTAGTCGTATGGCACGCCGTTCTTACAATTGAACATCAAAGGTTTTCACTACCTGTGGGTAAATCCGGACAAGAAGGTTATTTTCTTCAATTTCCCGCATAATGTTAAGGTAGTGGGTTCAAAAATGTGGACATGCATCCCCACCGTTAAGAAGGATAAGAAAGAACGAAAAATAGCATTGCAGCTATGTTTAAGAGCTTTACTCAATATAGTGTTGTCAATTTAGGGGTTTGATAGAAACTATTCCTATAATATGCTTTGAGTAATAAGCAAGTACTTCAGTTCGCAGCAAATGTCCTTGTACGCCTTCTAAAAGCATGCCTCACATCAAAACAAGCGAAAGTAATCTCGAGTAGTGTCAAATTTAAGGTCGTCCGGAATTGCCCCATAGGTCGTCCGGAATTACCCCAGCCTGGGGTAATTCCGGACACGTGCAGGGCTGTTGTTGGGCGCCTATATCTCCCTACCCGTTGCTGATATTGGCTTTCATGTATATCATTTTGAAGGTAAAGGTCCATACTTTACTCTCCTGTATAACATTTGACCCAAAAAGCATATTCAAGCTCAAAGACCAAAAAGGAAAAAAGCGTCCGGAATTACCCCACTCTCCCTTAATGCGTGGGTGATCCGTGTAATCCGTAAGGGAGAGTGGGGTTATTCCGGACGCTTTTTTCTTTTTGGTCTTTGAGCTTGAATATGCTTTTTGGGTCAAATGTTATTACAGGAGAGTAAAGTATGGACCTTTACCTTCAAAATGATATACATGAAAGCCAAATCTCAGCAACGGTTAGGGAGATATAGGCGCCTAACAACAGCCCTGCACGTGTCCGGAATAACCCCAGGCTGGGGTAATAACCGGACGGCCTATGGGGCAATTCCGGATGACCTTAAAATTTGACACTACTCGAGATTACTTTCGCTTGTTTTGATGTGAGGCATGCTTTTAGAAGGCGTACAAGGACATTTGCTGCGAACTGAAGTACTTGATTATTACTCAAAGCATATTATAAGGAATAGTTTCTATCAAAACCCCTAAATTGACAACAATATATTGAGTAAAGCTCTTAAACATAGCTGCAATGCTATTTTTCGTTCTTTCTTTATCCTTCTTAACGAAGGGGATGCATGTCCACAATTTTGAACCCACTACCTTAACATTATGCGGGAAATTGAAGAAAATAACCCTTCTTGTCCGGATTTACCCCACAGGTAGTGAAAACCTTTGATGTTCAATTGTAAGGAAACGGCGAGCCATACGACTACTCCCGAAACGCCAAAGTAAAGTCCAATGACCATATAATATGGCAAAATTTTAGTCATGGGACTGAACTTGACGGTAAGGTACGATAAGTACATGGAAATACGAGGTAAAGATGCAGCTTTCGCCTGTTTTTGATGGTACTCAAATTTCGTGAAGCGACCACAGCCAAACGGTTTGACCTCCTACCTTGGAGATTTGGAATTATCATATTATCTTCCTCTGTTAGGCGGGCTTTTGAGTTATCTTCACTCGAACCCAGTGAAAATCGAAGTGTCCGGAATTACCCCGTGTCCGGAATTACCCCACTCTCCCTTAATCCAGCTGACACGAAATTCACCAGTCGTCACCCACTCGCCTGCAACCGAGGGGGCCACCACCCTTATTTCAGAAGTCGGGTCAGGCCAGGGAGGAACCGAACACCTAAAGGGTGGGGCTTAATCGGGCTGCCTATTTTTATAGTGGAACTCATTCAGTTGAGACCAACCGTTACGCGTTAGTGTAGAGTTCCAATAACCAGCAGAAAATATTTCCGAGTATCAGAATGTACCAGATCAGTATGAAATAGGGGTGTGCAATAACCTGAGAGAATTTCCGCTTGGTGCTGACAGAATTGTTAAACTTTTGAGACAAAGCCATTGTCGCAAATAATGTTCATTTGGCACATTTTAAAATTCACTGAACGAATCCCTCCATACGTTTAGGTTGACACCCGTGCTATATCTGGGTGTAGAAAAAATAGATTAACTTCTTTGCTTTTGGCGTAGAGAGTGATTTCAGAATATGTCCACGCTGAAACCTCAAGTGAGTGCACGGTGTAGTCAGTACACACTTGCACATTCTGTGGATTTTACTCTGCGTAAAAGGAAGAAACTTACCTCTCTTCTGCGAGCGTGAGATGAGCATCACAGCACTGGACGCAGAGCAGCGCCAAGATTGCTCCTTCCAGAGAGGTTTCGAGCCGCATGGGGCAGCGGTCGGGCAGGCGGGCCGCCCTACAAACTGGTAACAGTGGCCTTTCTAGTGTACGCGTCGCGGACTCAGGGTAAAGTTATATTATTATTATATATAAGTTATATATTATTATATATATAAGTAAAGTCCTATTAGTCAATAAATGCTAGTTCTAATGTACTTATGTTAGCTTGCAGCATCGCATTAGAATGTAATTCCCCGAGTCAAACCAAGACAATTTACGCATGTATGCCTACTAATTTCAACAAAAGTTATTAAAGTAGTACATCAGCTAGGGTTTCCCGCCAAAAAATTTTAAAATTAAAATTTGTCGTATTGCTCTGCGCTTTGCATCAAGTTACAGATAAAGCTCCAAACTCTATTTTAAGTAATATGCAATTTTGATGTTAACCTACAGGGTTTTGACCAATTCGACTATAAAAACGGCCAAAGTCGCGTTTTGACCCAAAAGAGGGCATTTTTTGGACATTCTTCGTTCTGTAGTTCTCACCTATGGACAGGAACCCCCGTTTTTCTGGAAGGATTTTGATTCTATGTAGTGTTCTTTATCTAACTATAGTTTTTCATTGCCTTCTTATTACTCCATATGTGCCAAAAGTAAACGTTAGCATGTTTTTTAGACCCATTCCCCATAAGACCCATGTTAAAAATCCGAACTTTGACTGCATTTATCTCTGAAACGAGTTCAGGAAGGAGCATTTCGTTTGGTAACACTGACTTCAGCGCATGATTTTCTATCGATATGGATCAAATGGGGAACTTTTTGAATACCTTTTTTTGTAACTGATGTACTACTTTAATGCATTTCCATGATTTGATTCAGTATCAATATTAAATTTAAAAATACGATTTCAAGAAATCCTAGGAGTCACGAAGTCAATTTGGGTAGGAGTGTGGGGAAAGCAAAAAAGTTGTGTAAAAGGGATAGGGGGTGGCTCAGGGGTGGCTACGAATGGCAGTGGTACCAATGTGGTCGATGTGCCACCCGTCAGGCAATAAAAAGAAATCAAAATGCCGGTAAATTCGAAAAAAATTCCAATGCTAATGTATTCCACGGAGTTCTGACAATGGAACATCTTTGAAGTCCATCATTATCAGAGATCCTTAACTTAACGTAACATTTAACTAACACTGCTTTCATAACGTAACATAAGACAATGTTCGCTAAAGGTTAAGGGTACGGACTTTTGGAAGTACTTCCAAAAGTATCTCTACACAAATTCAAAACACAAAAAAATAACTTACCCTTTTTGAAAAGATGTCAGAAGTTAAGGTTAATAACTTTAACGCTTACGATAACGTTATGATGCCCTTATGAGGTAAGTTAAGGATCCCTGATCATTATTAAAATTTTGGTAGCAGAAAGAAGGCAGTAAATTAATTTTCGCGGGTTGGCAACAATTTTGTCGTTGTCTGCGCCCTTGCGAAAATCGCGAAGCTGAAAACACGAGTAGTCGCGCATTAAAACTGCCCCTCCATTGTTGCTGACCTTGAATTGTTTGGCTACGGTTCTCTAGTCATGTTTTCTTCAATTCTGTGTAATAGTTCTCACTCACAACGTAGCAACACCACGGCTTGACAAACTTTATAAACTCGAGAGGGATGGTTTTGAAACGCGGGTGAGTCTTGTTCGAGGAACATAAGCACTGAAAGTCGCAAGGTGGAGCGAAGTGATCATGGTTCTAACTGAATCAGAAGTACCATCAAACCTCGCTAAAAGGAGCAGCTACATGGCCAGCTTATTCAAAAAGAAACCAAAAGTCTTAAAGTGACTCTTAAACTACATTAAGGAAAGATAATTTACAGATGCAGTGCACAGGTACGCAGTTTAATGGCTCAATTCACTCCGATGTCTAAAATTATGACGGTTTGCCTCACCCAGGTCCTTTTCCGCCTACACCAAAACACATTCGTGCACACTCGTGCATCATTCAGTATGTCACGATGCACGACGGTCACGGAAGATCACCCGGTCGGTAAATGCCGCTTAGTTATGCCGACACACGCCGGTCGAAGGAAATTTATACTTAATGTGCAGTGCTGCATACGTGGCAATCCACCTAATTACAAGCGAGGTCGTCGGGCCAGCCGGCAGAAGACCAAGAGGCGTTGATATCGTGCAACCCCCTGAGGTGAGCCACGCACTCGACATCACCCTTGATTCTAGCAACTTCGCGGAGAGCGTACACCAAATTCCTTTGGAGTTGTCCATAATTTTTAGCACATGATGTACGTTATGTACAAATTTCTACTTAAATTAAGTACAATTTTAAAAATACTTCAGCACGATATTGAAATAGTGTCCCTAAGGGGTACGCGCCGTTTAGTTTGTGCGCGTAGTGGCTGAGCGATGCGACTCCGCAGATTCTAATGCAAGCGTAGCTACACTGCAATACCTTAGTGTTGCGGGCTTGCATGACACGACTGGATTAAAGCCCTGATCGCGAGGTCACCAGACCTCAGTTAGCCTCTTGCCGATCAGTTGAGATTGGCCATCGACATGAACAAATGGATAGGCCACCCACGTACGGCACATTGGCGCACGGACGACGCGGCTACCTTCCCACCTGATGCTTGTTCCGATCGGCTTTTTTGCATTAAGCTTACCTATAACTTCCATACAACTAAGGACAACACAATTTTTTTTAAATGTTGTAAAAATTCCGCTTTTTCATTTGTTTTTTTCGGTTTGTCTCTAAAAGGCATGTTTAAAAAAATCATCACCAACAAGAGGGGGAAAACCCCCCTAAAAAGGGTCTAGGGACGAGACTGCCCCCTTAAGAAGCTCACGAAACATATGGCGACCTTAAGAAGCTGTACTGCTTGCTCACTTTCGTGCTTACTATAGCATTCTTTTGTTAAAGCTGCGTCTGGTCTAGCAGATGGGCGTCTTGGACATGCTGAGAGGCCGAGGAGTGCCAAATGGTGATGAGGGACCTCTCCGGAGTGTAATGGGCGCCTGGCAGCGCGAAATATCGTCTGGAACGCCTGGCATTGGCCGTCTCCTACTTCGCACAATGCAAGGGTCAAGGGTAAGAATTCACTGAAAATGGAATGGTCGGACACATGGCCAAATTATGGCGTGACAAAAAGTCGCGCCAAAAATTTGCGTGACAGGAAATTCACGCAGTCATCTGGCGTGAATGTACTACCATGTGGATTGGAGCGTACAATGCTTTTTATGAGAAAAGTCATGCCGAAAACTGACATGACAGGAAATTCAGGCCAAAACTTGGCGTGAATTTCTGAGTCACGATGATTTTTGGCATGACTTTTCTGTCGTGCCGTTTTTGGCCGTGACTCTTGATTCACGCCCGCCCTGCAGCAGCACGAAGTCACGCCGATAGATTTTCAGTGTTCTGTCAACAGTTAAAGCAAAATCAGTTCACAGTTTTGTCGCTATCCAATTTATGATGTGTAATAGAGGATGCTTTCAATAATAGTTATATTGAGCCGCATCTATAGAAATCGAATCATCACAGCATGGCCGATAAACAAGTTTAAGGTTTAAGGCGGTGCCCACACTCTTAAAAGTCTACAAAGCATCTGGTTTATAACTGCGAAGACATTGAAAGCATTGAAGAACTGCTTCGTATAATGAATGAATGTTTCTTACTACGACGGATTTTGCTGCATAATACGAAGCGTTTCTTCGTACATTGATTCCGTTTTCTTCGCATTAAGGGGGGACATCACTCCAAAAACAGTGCTTTTGTAAAATCGTCATAAAAACCAAACGGAAAGAGAAAAATTGTTCATACTTTAACAGATAAAGTATATAACAACACTAAGTCAATCCGCCAGGGCAGTACAGCGCTTTCGTTGAAAACGCATTTTTGAGTGTTAGGTTAGACCATTTCGCACTGTTGCAATGCTGGACGCCAAACGGTTTGACCTAGAACATTAAAATTTGGTGACAGCCTTCCTGAGATGTCTGGCTGTGGTGGGTACCTTAATCACATTTCAAAAATCATTTTAAGTTGTATTTGTTACATACCAAAAAAAATTGTTCAATTTTTGGGGTCAAAATTGTTCAATTTTGAACGTTAAAAAAATAATAAAAATTGACCAATGCAAATTATTTTGCTACCCACCATAGCGGCATGTCGTAGGAGCTTCCATGCTAAATCTCCCCGCTGTAGCTCAAAAACTGCGCCCTAGAGGCCTGCAACCGTTTGCAATTTCATGTTCCGAGAAAAACGCGATCAAAGTTGGGGAAACTGGGCTTTTCCCCTATGCATGTTTGCGGCTCACAGCCTCCCAAAACTGCAGTTTTTTTGAATTTCAGAATGCGGTTTTCGCCATTCGATGCAGAAAAGAATGGTCTTTTGTATGAACTAATAAAAAAAAGTTGCGATTTTTTATCATTTTGGAGTGATGTCCCCCCTTAAGCGGCGACGCGCCGTGGACTTTTTAGTGTGCAGATAGAAGAACGGCTTAAATTAAGAAGAAAATATATTTTCAATGTTTAAAATTTAAGAAGCCTGACGATTTCAGATTCATAGCTTTCAACCCCCTTGTTCCGTAATTATCACTGGACCATTCATAGAAGACTAATTCAACGGTCAATCGTTTGGCGAAGTGGCCACGCAAATACTTGCATCAACCAAACTAATCTTTATCATGGCACAGGACACACTAAATGTCATGGGACTTTTTTTGTCCCATGAATGATGCAATTATATTAAGCAAATCCGGTCGTGGTGCAATTTTGAGTCCGCCAGGCGGGACAAATTGTCTAGTGAAAGTACGATTTGCAGCAGGTGTCGGACAAAATGTGTCGCCAGGCGGGAACGAAATTGTATCAGCGTCGGATGTGCTTAAAATTGCATCTGCTAAATGCTAGGCTAGAGAATTTAGAACGTTGAAAATGCCAGGGATCCTTAACTTACCTCATAAGGGCATCATAACGTTATCGTAAGCGTTAAAGTTATTAACCTTAACTTCTGACATCTTTCAAAAAGGGTAAGTTATTTTTTTGTGTTTTGAATTTGTGTAGAGATACTTTTGGAAGTACTTCCAAAAGTCCGTACCCTTAACCTTTAGCGAACATTGTCTTATGTTACGTTATGAAAGCAGTGTTAGTTAAATGTTACGTTAAGTTAAGGATCTCTGGAAAATGCTACGTTTTTGGTCTAATCTTGCTGTGATTTTATTCCGCAGATCTCTATGATCATCTCATTGGGATACCAGATTTTCCTCCTTTCCAACATTGCATTCTCTGGAAGTCTGGAGAACGCAAAGACGCCCTTCCGACTATTCTCCGGGGCCTACTCGACGCAAGCGGCCCAATTCATCTTTTTCCTTCACCGGCACCACGCCGAAGAAGCTCTACGCATTACTCGATGCGTGGCGGAAGACTTGGAAAAGACCGCTGACGAGGAAACAAAGGTGCGGAGTATGGATACAGATGGCCTTGACAGTCGAATGAAGCCGGTGACAATGTTGCGAGCTCTGGATACCCACGAATCCATCCATAGGAGACTTCAGCACTAGGTAGTCAAGAAATTTCAAATGTCGAACAACTGCAGCTTGCAATGGAGGTTGTATGCATGAAATAATTGGCCACTTTTCATGCTGCCTACAACGACCTGGCATTCCGATAGTTTCTTATTAAGGTGAAACAGGTGATAGGGGACTGTTCGAGCAGGGACGGACTGGCACCAGGAAGGCCCTGGTGGTGGGTGCCCTTTTGATCCTTGCTCTGAGGGCCCTTTGTATCCTTGCTCTGTGGGGCTCTGAGGGCCCTTTGGATCCTTGCTCTGAGGACCCTTAGGATCCTTGCTCTGTGGGCCCTTTGTATCCTTGCTCTGTGGGCCCTTTGTATCCTTGCTCTGTGGGCCCTTTGGGTCCTTGCTCTTTGCGCCCTTCGGGCTCTTGCTCTTTGCGCCCTGTTGGGTGCTCGGCAAACTGAAGTGTGTCCATAGTACACTGGAGCATGCTTCCAAGTACACTCTTATTTACAGCATGCATACTTGCTAGGCACACGCTGAAATGGAGTGTACATTGCATGTACACGCTTAATAAGAGTGCACGTGGCATGTACACTTAAACCGGCCCATGCTTTCAGATAGGACAAATCGTGCGTATTTTAGAGTGTACTTGCAAGCTACACACTTATTTAGCGTGTACTTGCCAGGCACACTCTATTTTAGCGTGTGCCTAGCAAGTATGCTGTAAATAAGAGTGTACTTGGAAGCATGCTCTAATAAGAGTGTACTATGTACACACTTCAGTTTGCAGCCCCACTGTGGGGCCTTCGGACCCCGGGCAGATCTAGGGCCCTTCGTCAGGCAGACGCCATTGGAGCCTTTTAGGGCGGGCCGAGGGGCCCTTCGGGCGTCTTGCCACCCACCCCAGTCCACCGTTGTGTTAAAGCGAACGTAATTGTGATCTCGTTAATCCACGTTCCAACCTGTCTGACTTTGGAAGCCGGATATTGACTTTGTTCTAAAACTTTTCCATCAATAAAACAGGTCCGTCTGCGACGAGCTGCCCGATTAATTCGCATCATCAAGATTTTCTTTCTGATCCACATGCTCAACGCCACTTTCTCGGTGTGCATGACTCCACTGTCCATGGGGTTTGACTCGTGGTTAATCGCTGCAAAGGTGCGTTTATCCTCTTTTTGATCCTGAAATAGTGTCCATTTTTTAAAGCTGATCTCACGTTACTGAAAGTTTACGCCAAAAGTTGCACTTTGCCCCTGTAAGTAGACCCTGACTTCGTCGTCGACTGACGAAAAAAGCAAAAGCACGCACAGGAGATGGGGAGGATCGGGAGTAGGTAGCCAGCCCAATTTAAGGATGTTGGTAAATGTTTTTGTTTCCTTTGCCTACATGTAAGTAACTGAAACAGCCTAAATTACTTTTGAAAGAAAGGCTCTTTAGAGAATTCTAATAAAAATACACTCGAACGGGTGTCTGAGACCGGCACCATTTCCGAAGTTGTGACTCTTTTTGTTCTTCACTTGCCGATGACTAGAAAAGTCTAATGACGATTGAGTCCTGCCCGTTTCTGTCTCTTTAAAGGTTGTATTCATGTGCATCGGGATGGTTGTATGCTGTTGGGCATACTACACGTTGCTGCCACTAATGCTCTGTGTACACCTAGCCTGCTGCGCCCTCTATAGGGAGGTGGGACAGCGCCTACAGGTACGCACATGACCACACACCACTGCGAGGCCCGGGCAGGGACAGGTCGCTCATCATTACTGAAAGCAACGCCTTCCCATGGCCACCATAGATTTCCATACCAAAATAATTTTTAAGATACCCACCCACAGGATAAAGTTGCTAAAATATAAGCCCGCCATAAACCCAATTGATGGAGAGAATATAACTTTCTTATACGATGACCCGAGGTTGTTGGTGCAGTTAGGTTGACAACTGACTTGTTCCCACGATGCGATGTCGTCGGCAACTCTCCTTTACTGTGCACTCTCAAGAGTTTCCTCAACACACTCTCTTCGGCGTGTACTCACGAGTTTACTCCCACGCTCGTGTATTCATTTCAGCTCACTCCCAAGAGAGTGTTCGCCGATGAGTGAGTACACAACCTTAAGCTGCCTGCTCGGGCGTGCTGGTGAGTACTCGTGCTCCTCTGAGTGTACTCCAGGGATCCTTAACTTACCTCATAAGGGCATCATAACGTTATCGTAAGAGTTAAAGTTATTAACCTTAACTTCTGACATCTTTTCAAAAAGGGTAAGTTATTTTTTTGTGTTTTGAATTTGTGTAGAGATACTTTTGGAAGTACTTCCAAAAGTCCGTACCCTTAACCTTTAGCGATCATTGTCTTATGTTACGTTATGAAAGCAGTGTTAGTTAAATGTTAAGTTAAGTTAAGGATCTCTGGTGTACTCAGGAGTACTTTAAAGGGAATTTACTCATGTGAGTACACGCTGAAGTGAGTGTACTGAGTGCGCTGTGAAGTTTGCAGAGTAGCCGGGAGCATTCAAGAGTCACACACTGAATGTCCAAGTTTTTACAAGACATCACAGTTTTTTGTGCACACGAACTTTTCGTACTTTTAAGGGAGGGTGGGCAGATACTGACACGGGGCAGTTGCTGATACTTGAAAATTCTCATAGATTCCATCACGCCCCTGAGATATCCCATTGCACACAGTTAGTCAGTCGGTGTTCATCCTGGTTGGGCTGCAGTGAAGTTTTAAGAAAGTTGTGCCATCTAATAAAGGCCACAGTTTTGATAGCCCACAACGGCCCATAACCAACCTTAAACTCACATTTCATTTTGGAGCCCTGCAACTTTGCCTGCGTACGTACGTGCTCTGTCAAAAACGGTCATTGTTATCGATTTGTCAATGATTTCACTTAAAATTTAGCGGAAAAATATTTCAAGAAAATTGATTCTTCCTTTAACTGCACTTGATCAAATGAAAAATGGGTGCTTGCCTGAGGCACTTAATGACAAAGCCATTCAGCCCAGAACATAATGTGGTCTAATTTAAGTTCTCTTGTAAGTTTTAAGCTTAAAATACATGATTTGAGAACATCAGGACTGAACCTACGGTTGAGTTTGTCAACTACCTGCTGTCGGGTAGTTTGTCAACTACCTGACAATTGCAAGCCTTTTTCAGCGCAAATCTAGGGTAAATCTAGGGTAAATGCTAATTCTTAACCAAATATCCACCCGGGCCCTCTCAAAGCAGAAGGTTTAAAGAAGCTTTTAAGCTGGAACGGGTTTTAGACTGTCCCACGAAAAATTACATGTTCTGTTTGCTCACGGGGCACTTGAAAAATAAGTTCTAAATGTAAAAAAAGGAATAAATTCTTTTGGCCCAAGCATTCGGACAGAATTTAGAGGTCGCGCATCGCTCCCAAAGTGAAAATAGCGGTTTTTGGCAAATTTCGCCCTTTCTCTCACAGCCACGGCGCTTCCCGGCCGTCCCTCGCGACTCGGTCGGACTCCTAGTACCCTCGCGTAACATTCAAGCACCAACCCGACCCTTGCCGACCCCTAAAGCCCTTTAATAATGGCCAAAAACAATAATTTTTATCAGAAAATTTTGTTGAAAAGTGCTGAAAAAGGTGTAAGGACTGAAGATTAGGCAAGTCTGTGTGGCTCAATCGATTGGAAATCATCGAAAACCTTCATGTCCAGAATTGGAAGTGCCTACGGTCAGAAACGGCCGCACCCGAAGCAGTGCAAATTCACAATTTTCGGGAAACGGCCTATTTTACATAGGGGCGTTCCAGACCAAAAAGGCCACTTGGCCGGCAACCATCTCGGGTCAAGCTCAAACGTTTTCCTGGGTTCCTTTCATCCTTACGAACTGCCGAAACACCATGGGAGCGAGATCCGACTCGAACTCCGGATTGTATAAGGGTCGTAAACCCCCCAGCACCGGTAGAACTCAAGCGTAGTTTTACGCCTTTCTTCTAGCGGAGTAGAATCACGCTCGGCTTCAAGCATAGTTCTCCATTTAGCCCCTCTCCCGCCTATCGAAACGCATGGGAGAATTTCTTCTTTACGCTTGACGTCAAGCGTAAAGTCTTCAAGCGTAGTTGTATGCTTGAATCAAGCATACAACTGCGCTTCCGCTTTCTCTGCAAACTGAAGTGTGTACATAGTACACTCTTATTAGAGCATACTTCCGACTTCCAAGTACACTCTTATTTACAGCAAACTTGCTAGGCACACACTAAAATAGAGTGTACATTACATGTACACGCTAAATAAGAGTGTACCTGGCAAGTACACTTAAACTGGCCCATGCTTTTAGATAGGACTTATCGAGTGTATTTTAGCGTGTACATGGAAGGTACACACTTATTTGGCGTGTACTTGCCAGGCACACTCTTTTTTAGCGTGTGTCTAGCAAGTATGCTGTAAATAAGAGTGTACTTGGAAGTATGCTCTAATAAGAGTGTACTATGTACACACTTCAGTTTGCAGAGCATCTCCTATTTCCATCTCCCATCTCATCGTGATCAACACCTCTTGAAATTCCTTTTAAACTGTCTTGAAGCTTCGAGACTTTCTCGTGGAAAAAATGTTTTGACGATGTAGGGGTATTGACCCATGGGTACACTGATTTTCTAAGTGTAATAATGAACTAATTTAAAAAGCAATAACATTTTCATTGCTCTAGTAGTGCCATGAAAAAGTTTTTGCATTATAAGTGCAATAGTTGTTGTATTGCATTAGCGCATTTATCGCATTATTAACGTAGTTATCATTTTATGGCATATGTGATAATCTGGGCCCAGGCCGGCCAAAACCTGAGGGAATTATTGCATTTTTAATGTGATAATTTTTTATTGCTGCCACGGATGCGATAATTTGAAGGAATCACACTAGCCTTTTTATCGCAGCAAATTGTATGAAACTTATAACATTAGAAATACCAGTGTATAGGCAGGCACCATTTAAGCCAAAGAGGAGCGAAATCGCCGATGATCTACTTTGAAGGGCCCTGATATGATCAAATCACCAGGGAACATAAGGAAATTGAGCGACTTTGCGAGCCCGTATCGCCGAAACCCGACGTCGTACAGCCGCGTGTGACACGCCAATCGAAAGAGCGCATTATTTCCACAAGAAAAACCTAGAGGGTAGATTTTTTGAACAGCCGCTTCCACCAGCCCAACAAGTCCCAAACCCTCAAAAACAGCCATTTTGGGGGGTTAACAACCCTTATAAAAGCCATTTTGGGGGGTTTACGACCCTTATACAATCCGGAGTTCGAGTCGGATCTCGCTCCCATGGTGTTTCGGCAGTCCGTAAGGATGAAAGGAACCCAGGAAAACGTTTGAGCTTGACCCGAGATGGTTGCCGGCCAAGTGGCCTTTTTGGTCTGGAACGCCCCTATGTAAAATAGGCCGTTTCCCGAAAATTGTGAATTTGCACTGCTTCGGGTGCGGCCATTTCTGACCGTAGGCACTTCCAATTCTGGACATGAAGGTTTTCGATGATTTCCAATCGATTGAGCCACACAGACTTGCCTAATCTTCAGTCCTTACACCTTTTTCAGCACTTTTCAACAAAATTTTCTGATAAAAATTATTGTTTTTGGCCATTATTAAAGGGCTTTAGGGGTCGGCAAGGGTCGGGTTGGTGCTTGAATGTTACGCGAGGGTACTAGGAGTCCGACCGAGTCGCGAGGGACGGCCGGGAAGCGCCGTGGCTGTGAGAGAAAGGGCGAAATTTGCCAAAAACCGCTATTTTCACTTTGGGAGCGATGCGCGACCTCTAAATTCTGTCCGAATGCTTGGGCCAAAAGAATTTATTCCTTTTTTTACATTTAGAACTTATTTTTCAAGTGCCCCGTGAGCAAACAGAACATGTAATTTTTCGTGGGACAGTCTAACGGGTTTCCGTGACTTGATTTTCCTGGCATCTGAGAGGCGCCGAAAAAAAGCGTCAGTATGTGCCCCACCACCCCTTACGCGATTTTGCTCCGAAATGGAGAAATGTGCAGTTCTTCGTACAGGAGTACGAAAAGTTCGCGTGCACCAAAAAACTTGTGTCTCGTACCACTCGGTACATAGCATTTAGTGTGCACTCTTTGTCCCTGTCGCAGTGAGACGCTCTCTAAGCTCTTTCAATTACCAGGCACACATCGGCTTGGCCGAAGTGTCCCGGTGCGCGAGGCTGCACTCCAGCCTGAAGGAAGCGGAGCGGCACATGGACTCTCTAGTTGGGATGTATTTTCCGCATTATCTTCTTGTCGCAATCCTGTTGCCTTTGGTGAGTGGAAAAGACGCTTTAGGGTCAGTTGGGGTAATTATGGGACACGGGGTAAAAATGGGACAGCTGATTCTTAGTCAAAATTTGACATTTTTGAATGCATGACATACCAAATGTGTTGTTTTTGTCGAGAAAATAACATTTGCTACGGCACAAGTTCTAAAATCTTGATTCTTGTCTAAGAATCAGCGGTCCCATTTTTACCCCGTGTCCCATAATTACCCCAACTGACCCTAGTTAGTTACGAACTACAGCGGCCTCTGAAAATATTGTTTAAACAAATTTGGCGGACGTGCTGCATTTTGTCATTTTTTTCAGTACCTGACTGAGCTAGTCATAGCTCTTTCAGGCACGAAGAAGTAGCTTTATGATCCTGTCACAAAATTCTCTCTTTTTTTTGTAAGCCTAACTTCATATCGCATGTTAAATTCTCTCTACAATTTTGATGGGACTCTGCCAAGAAATCAAACTTTCCGGTCGTGAAATTGCCGCAAAAGTTTGTGGCTAATTCTTGACTGCTTTCGAGTGAAAGTCACCCCTAAGTCAGTTTGGCAAACTAATCGCTCTGGTCGTAAATTCAATGTACAGCTGAGCATCGCAGAAGTACTGACTTCTGACGTGCAGGCGGACATGTACGCGTTGAGTACCGTGCCCATTGTGTTCATCATCATCGTACCTCAGGTACGTGCCTCTACACTTGAGATCTCAAGTTACGCTCTAGTTAGTAATATATACTATGTAAGAAGCCGATATTATATCGTTTGTAAAATGCTTTGCACACGTTCAATGGTTGCTTTTGTCTGCTGAACAATATGTGAGAGCACGCTGCAGCAATGAAAGCAAAGTGAACAGATGACCTTTCTTTTAACGCTAAGTTGCTGAGGCCTGGAAGCGTTGATGAAGAGTTACCCTTGTTACTCGTGCACAAATGAAATCAAGCGCGTTAATTCACTTCCTTTAACGAACCTTGAGTGAAACATGCATTCCTGAGAGTAACGGTTTCCATTTGGGTTTCCACGAGCTCGAAGCTTCCAAGCTCTCATAACTTGGCCAACCCACATTGCCAGAGAAGGTTCAAAATACAACAAATCGACGCAGAATGATTTGTTTTCCACACACTCCCACACTACAAACCTAACTGTCGACAGTAAGCTTCTAGTGGTGCACACTTACAAATGCATGCTTGCAAATACTTACACGCAAACGCATGCTTGGTGCCGTATAACTAAATGCTTAGCGTAGGCTTCAGTGTCTACATGTCAAGCATGCATTTGTGGCCACGCATGCGTTTGTGAGTGTGTAATTGAAGCATGCATGTCTACAAAGTATCCAGTTCAGTTTCTAGTGAAATTTCCTGCTGAGAAATAATGCCGTAGTCATGCTGCTAAATCTAAAAACTCTACGACACAATACAGATAATACAGAGAAATTTTTCCGCAATATTAAGAAACTAAGTCAGGTTTGCGAGAACCTTTTATGTTATTACCACCATGCTCATGCTGGTGCATTTTGTTCGTATTACAAAGAAAAATCTCAGAGGGATCATGCTTGAGAGTGCACACTGCAGGGCGGGGAGTGCTACCCTCACCCTCACTCGTGTAAATCTTGTCAGAATATCAGAAACCTGTCTGAGAACCTGATCGAAATTCGCGCACCTCTGAAAGCTGAAAACATCTCCCGACATTCCGTGGAACTCACGCCATCAATAGAGTAAGTTTTCAGAATTTCAGCTTTCAGACATATGTTTCTGACATTCTGACAAAATTTACACGAGTGCTGTTTCAGTGCCTCGTCGGCCAGTACCTGGAGGACTGCAGCGGCGCCGTGCCGCAGTCCTGCTACTTCGGGCCGTGGCTGGAGGAGGACCGCGAGTCGCGTCGCGGCAGACTCCTCGTGATGAAGCTGGGCGCGCGGCCAGACTTTGTGCGAGTGCAGGGCATGGGAAGGCTCAACAGGTGAGTCAGCACCGAGGGAATGGAGGCAACCACTCGCCAAATCCTGTGTCTACTCGACCGCCTGAAATCCTTTCATTTATACAATTTACAAATTGATGACATTTCCGACAAAAGCTCCTACTTAAGGCATGTTTTTTTTTGAAAACAGCAATTTTTTTCATTGAACAGTTAATCAAGATAATAGTAAAATCAATAGATAACATTGCATTCGGTCTTGCTTCACATTGACTTACGGTTAAAACTGGACGGTTAAAATTGGACGTCACACTGAGGCTTGACACCTTCGGTCTCGTGAGGAAAATAAGCCTTGACATTGTCACCAAGTGACAACCAAAATTTTCACAGTGTGTTTGTGCTATCTGCCTCTTGTTGTAGAGCTGCCTGCGCGTCCATCCTCCGCTCTTGGTGTGGATATCTCCAGGTAGTCGTGAGGTTTAGTAACAACAGCCAGTGAGTTCTCTAGGTATTTTTGTTAGTAGAGACAATTTAGCGTTCCCACGACGAGAAGATGAATAAACACGCAGCAAAATCTGAGGCACAATCATTGTTAAGGGGGCAGTCTCGTCCCTGTACCCTTTTTAGGGGGGTTTTCCCTCCCTCTTTTGATGACGATGATTTTTTAAATATACCTCTTAGAGACAAACGGTAAAAACCAAATAAAATAACCTTAATTTTTACAACATTTTCAAAAAAAAATATTTTGTTTTGTCTTTAGTTGTAAGGGAGTTATAGGGATTGCAACAAAAGCCGACAACATACAAAATTTCACTGCGCGACAATTTTCTCCGGAAGTTCTTAACTTTTTGGCAATCGGTTTGCGGCATCTTGAAGATGAAAAAATCCTCTTACTTTAACCTACAATTGTCCATGTAGCCCAAGGAAAACCTAAATTAAAACCGTTCCTAAGTTTGTATAGGTTTTTGGTTACGTTTTAAAAAGTGTAATTCTTGAGCTATATGGACGATTGTAGGTTAAAGTAAAGAGGATTTTTTCATCTTCAAGATGCCGCAAACCGATTGCCAAAAAGTTAAGAACTTCCGGAGAAAATTGTCGCGCAGTGAAATTTTGTATGTTTTGTCGGCTTTTGTTGCGTTCCCTATAACTCCCTTACAACTGAAGACAAAACAAAACATTTTTTTTTTGAAAATGTTGTAAAAATTCCGTTCTTTCATTTGGTTTTTCCCGTTTGTCTCTAAGAGGTATATTTAAAAAATCATCGTCATCAAAAGAAGGGGCGAAAACCCCCCTAAAAAGGGTACAGGGACGAGACTGCCCCCTTAAATGCTCATGATTTATAGTTTATTGCAGAGAGATTACATCAGATCGCTGCCGACTTTTGTTTTGTGTGCAAGTAATGGAAAGAGGAATAAATTTCGTCATAGGCCTCAGTTGCTTATATTCTTATAAATTCAGAGATTCTTCGCTAAACCACAACTTCGAGCTCATTGGTTAGTTCGCACTCCGTACTCCCGTAACCGCACAGACCACACTGAAAACCTTAGGGTGTACTGAGTACACATAGAGCACTTAAGTGAGTACCGAGTACACACAGAGCACTTGGGTGTGGTCTGAGTACACATACAAAAGGATGTATGAGTACGCACACGGAGCTGATACGTGTGCACTCCGGCTCCGCACATGTCAATGTCTTGTCTAGGCATAGGCTAGCTTATTCTTATTCTGGAGGTGGTGGTGTGTTGGCTAAACCCAGTGTGCCCCACACGCTTAAAACGTTACGAAGTATTTTGAGCATACACTGTGCAAACTAAGCTACTTTTTATACGAAGAAAAATTTCGTGAATTACGAAGCATTTTCTTTGTAAGCTCATGTATGCTCAAAACACTTTGTTGTAACAAACTGCTTTTCATTGTAAGGCCGAATATAGTTTGTAAGGTTTTCTCAGTGCAGTTAGTTCCGGCGCGTTAGGTTAGGTAACTCAGCTCCCATCGCGCGCTATCACAATAGCGGACCTATGCCTGACTGCGGCAGTATATATGGGCACGACTGATTCTTGACCATGCACGTGCAATTTGGATGGAAAGACTTCGTGCCGGCGAGACATAAAAGTCTCGCCAAGTTTTGGTCAGACCTGAAAGTCTCGCCAAAATTTGGTGAGACAAAAAAGTCTCGCCACAAAACGGTCATACACAAAAGTCTGACCCCAAAATGGCGAGACTTTTGTGTCTGACCACGGCTTTGAGGCCGTAACCGTCCGGCGCATTACGGCCTTTCGGTGGCTGTCAGACTCAAAAGTCTCGCCATTTTGGGGTCAGACTTTTGTGTATGACCGTTTTGTGGCGAGACTTTTTTGTCTGACCAAATTTTGGCGAGACTTTCAGGTCTGACCAAAACTTGGCGAGACTTTTATGTCTTGCCTCTGGAGTGGCGAGAAGTCTGACCTTTGGATTTGTAGTGTGGCAGTGAAGAAACGAATAGGTCGTAAAGTAGTGCTAAAAAAATTGGTTTAGATACTTAGAAAGCAATCTATTTCAAGTGAATACAAAACACAGCACTTGCTACATACACAGGGAGGCTACATGGCCGAAAGTGACAACAGCACAGAACGTGCCCAGTAACTTGAAACTCGCAAGGAAATAGACAGCCAGCCATATCGACAAAGTAGAGCTTACATTCTGACAAACAGAACTAGTTCCGTTCTGGACCCATCCTCGCGTCCATAGCTTCTCTACTTGATTTTACCCTATAACAGCGAGCTGAAGAAAACATACGCACGTTCACTAGATGCATCACTGTAAAATCACAGCAAGTTAAAGAAAAGATGCGCCCCACAAGCACGAAGTCCTCGTTGACATGTAGCTGGCTTCAACACAACTCCCCTAGAAGATGTCGACTCGCTCGAGGTCTGGTCGCGCCATCTTCAGGGCCGCGATCAGGGCGGACTTGGACAAGCCGTGGTGGGTCACAGCCCCTGACACCCGTCGCAGCTCCGGCAGTGCTGCCAGCGCCTCCACGTGATCCTTCTGCCCGGCCCAATGGAGGAAGAGATCCTGGAGGCGCGGCAGACAGGCCAGAAGTTGGTCGACCAAGTCCTGAAAACAAGACGAGGTAGGTCATCCACCAGTGCGGCTCGGGCACACGGTCAAAACGGAACCTGGTTTTCCCAGGAACTCCCTGGAAATCGCCTATGTCTCCACCATAAGCTTCCTGGGAAAACCAGGTTCCGTTTTTGCCGTGCACGTGATTTCAGAAGAGGAGACATACTAAAATCTTGTGGACTTCTGCAATGCTTTTAGACATGCTAATAAGATACACGTAATGTGCATTTACTGTCTCCATAATAGGAACAAAGATGCATAAAATGTTCTCACACGCACTAAAATACCGTGTAGTTAATTGTGCGTGTGTGAAGTATGCACGAAACTGTGTGCAACTGTGTGAAATTTAGAGTGCATGCAGTGCATTAAAGAAGATCACTTAGTAAGGTTTGGTGTGGACATCACTGGACAATGGTTTAAGCCCGAAATAATTTTTGTAGATTACAAATTTAGATAGTCCGTTCTGAGTCGAATGTGACATCACATTCGTGAATTTTGTCACATTCGTGTCACGTTCAAACGAATGTGACATCGTATTCAAACGAATGTGACATCGTATTCAAACGACCGTGACAAAATTTACATTATAAAGAATGTGACAAAATTCACATTCTAACGAATGTGACAAAATTCATATTTTAATGAATGTGACGTCACATTCATTGAATAATAGAGGGTGACGTCGAAAGAACCTGCGAGCCATTCTCGGAAACTACATTTTCGAACTTTGATCGTTTTGTTCTCGGGAAATGACATTGCAATGCATGGCGTACGCTGTGCACTTTATATATTATGTTCATACAAAAAGATGCATTATTGAATGTACACATAATAATGCCTCAGACTGTTTTATACACGGCTTACCACCAAAGGTACTGAAGCTGCAGAGATCTCAGTAACAAATGACCAGTTTCTTCATACTACTAACAATGTCTCTGAATTTTATAACGATTTGAATCGCTATGTACTGAGAATTACAGGCTGAAAAACCTTACGAAGTAGTTTCGGCGTACATAGTTCAAACTAATTTACTTTGTTATGCGAAGAAATAAATAGTTTGTAAATTACGAAGTATTTCCTTTGTAGGCTTATGTATGCTCAAAATCTTTGTTTATAACAAGCTGTTTCTCTTTGTACACGGTAAAAACGGTTCCTGGTTTTCCCAGGAACTTCCTGGAAATCGCCTATACCTTCACTATTGGCTTCCTGGGAAAACCAGGTTCCGTTTTTACCGTGTAAGGCCTAAAATAGTTTAAAAGGTATGCAGGGTGTACCTGGTAATGACTGCACGGCAGGAAATATCCACAACAAAAGTACGCAAATTTCTGGCAAATTTTTTATCAGGAATTTAGTGTACTTTTCAAGTACAATTGTTGTACAAAGTACAATGGGACCGGCATGAGGAGTGCTGTGCAGTCCACGGCTCGTTGTGGTTTCTACAATTCTCGTTGTACTTTCTACAATCCCTGTTGTACTTTTAATGTACAGTTTCTGTTGTACTTTTGCTGTAGTATCTACACTTTGTGAGCAGGACGACCAACTACACTTTTCCTTGCAGTGTGCAGGGCATTTCTCAGGAGGAAACGGGGAGTGAAAACGGTAACTCACCACAAAGCCCTCGTCCAGCCGTATTTCCAGTTCGGTGGCGTTGTGCGCCGCGCGAGCCACGGCCAGCAACAGCTCGGCCAGCGCGGGCCTGGCCGCCTCCCAGTACTGCGGGCCGTGGGCAAACCCCTTGGTGATGATCGTGAGGCGACGCAGCCCGGCCAGGCACTCACCATGCCGGGCCAGGAGGCATGTGCTGCGAGCTGCATCCTCGGGTTGCACCTGCAACGTCAGGGAAACGCACCTTTTCAATTCACTGGAAAAGGAAAAACAACCTTACAGGATTGTTTCCCATGGGGAATTGCCAGAGAACTTGAAGGGATCCGATCCGCGTTCCAAAACTGCTTCCGGGTAGTATAAAGGCTTGGTTTTTCAGTGGAAACTCTTTCAAATTATAAACATTGGAGATCTTCGAATCCCCCCCAAATGGCACCCAGATACCACTTAAAAGGTAGGCCAAAAGCCATTATTAGCCTGTAAGTAGACAAAAGTCTCGTCTCGACGACAAACAAACAATGTCAACACATCTCATAGGTTTGGATGGGAAATGAAAACGTTATTGAGCTTCAAAGGTACCAGGGTCATTTTTGGACCATTTTACAAAGTCTGCAGGTGAATAGCCTTTTCATTTTACATCCAAACCTATGACATGTGTTGACGTTTTTTGTATAAATTGACGAGACGAACACATTTCTGTAAGAAGATCTTGATTTGGACCACTTGCAAAATTTACTCAAACCCCTTTAAAATGTAAAAAGACATCTCCTTGGATTTCAAGGCGGCACTTTTACCGTGGGCCCATGCCAGAAGAACAGCTCACTAAAAAGTTCCCTTCCAAATTTCACTCCCGACAGTGCTAAATTCGCACTTCGCCAGTGCGAACTGCCAAAATCACTCTCGACGGTGCAATCAGCGCTTGTTTGCACTTCTAAGTGCGAAAATGGACCCAAAAGTGCTAAGTCGGTGAGTGAGTGCACTTGTAAGTGCAAAAATGTTTCACCCGGGAAAAGTGCGAAGTTTCTCGCCTCTCATTGGTTCCCATGCGGCGCGTAAGTTTGAATTACGCGCGTCAAGGGCACAAAAAATGTTGGTTTGGCGGGCGAAAACGACCGGTTACTGAAGAACCTAACATCGCGAAATATCCCAGGAGTAACTCCACCCCTAGGTGGACCGAGATCTGGGATTGGGTCACGGATTCGGTTCAAACTTTGTGGGTTCAATAGGTACCACTAGGACCTATCAACCCTCAAAGGAAAAATGGCTAGCTAAATAGAACCTGAGATATTTGCATTTTTCTAAATTTGACTAATTTAGTGTAAAATTGTCGCTTTCTGATTTTTTTTAGGGTAAAAGTTGTTTGCTTAGTTCTGCCTTATGTTTCTTCTTTCTAGTCGTAAAAAAAGAAGAAAAATGGTGGTAGGCCAAGTTTTGTACGTTGCTTGGTTTGGCCTACTCTAGCAATTTTGTCGAATTCATCGAAACTCTCATACCCAAAATACTCCACCTTGGATTTGGCCCTGGTGCGTCTCATTTCAGTTCTTTTTCTCTAATAAGCAATTGCTATTTAGTCCCTAGCACCAACAATTCCATAAAAGCCAGAAAAATCAAAAACACCATTTTTCAATTTTCTACTTTGACCTATTTTGGGCACTTTTGTCAAGATTAGGGCTTCTACATGATCTTGGGTGACAGGAAAGATCCTCCCTGCCCTCAATTTAGATAGTATCAACACAAACAAAGAGACCCAAACTCAAGTTGCACTAGAAATTGATAAGGAAATTGTTTCGAGCAAATTTTGCAAGATTACGAGGGGTGTGAAAAATTTAAATCGGAGGAAAATGTAATGCTTCAGCCAAAAGTGGATTTGTGGTTCATTAGTTAGCTTTCTCAAGTAGGTTTGGTGCCCTTTTAACCCTGAGAATGTGCCACCTTGATAATCAGTGTTAAAACCCTGTTTTGGTATGGGGTTGTTGGACTTACGATTTCAACTCATAAACAAAGTAATGATCCATTTACTAAGGTTGCTTGCAACGTGTAAGTTCAACCGCTTAGTCTTAGTCATCTGTCTGGTCTCAAAAATTTACAAACCAAATGGAACCAGGCTCAGTTATTGAGACTAAGCGGTTGAAGTTACATATTGCAAGCAACCTAAATAAATGGATCATTACTTTGTTGATGAGTTGAAATCGTAAGTCCAACAACCCCATACCAAAACAGGGTTTTAACACTGATTATCAAGGTGGCACATTCTCAGGGTTAAAAGGGCACCAAACCTACTTGAGAAAGCTAACTAATGAACCACAAATCCACTTTTGGCTGAAGCATTACATTTTCCTCCGATTTAAATTTCTCACACCCCTCGTAAACCTGCAAAATTTGCTCGAAACAATTTCCTTATAAATTTTTAGTGCACCTAGAGTTTGGGTCTCTTTGTTTGTGTTGATACTATCTAATTTGAGGGCAGGGAGGATCTTTCCTGTCACCCAAGATCATGTAGAAGCCCTAATCTTAACAAAAGTGCCCAAAATAGGTCAAAGTAGAAAATTGAAAAATGGTGTTTTTGATTTTTCTGGCTTTTATGGAATTGTTGGTGCTAAGGACTACATAGCAATTGTTTATTAGAGTAAAAGAAGTGAAATGAGACGTACCAGGGTCAAATCCAAGGTGGAGTATTTTGGGTATGAGAGTTTCGATGAATTCGACAAAATTGCTAGAGTAGGCCAAACCAAACAACGTACAAAACTTGGCCTACCACCATTTTTCTTCTTTTTTTACGACTCGAAAGAAGAAACATAAGCCAGAACTAAGCAAACAACTTTTACCCTAAAAAAAATCAGAAAGCGACAATTTTATGCTAAATTAGTCAAATTTAGAAAAATGCAAATATCTGAGGTTCTGTTTGAGCTAGCCAACTTTCCTTTGAGGGTTGATAGGTCCTAGTGGTACCTATTGAACCCACAAAGTTTGAACCGAATCCGTGACCCAATCCCAGTTCTCGGTCCTCCTTGGGGTGGAGTTACTCTTCTGTAATAAAAACTTATTGTTTTTATTTCCTCATGGATAGTTTTGAATTTGTGAAATTAAAGCCTCAGTAGCTTTGACTCTGTTTAATTTTATGGATTTAATTAAACTTGACATACCATAAGCCTTTCTTCTTTAGTCTATTGAACCTTTTCCCCAAAGAGAACTTGCTGTTTTAACACACTCTGAAATGAAGAATTGCACTTCAAAGAGTAAAAATCACACTATGGGGGGTAAAATTAGCACTTTTGGCGTTTTTCACCCCTGGTTCCACTTTTGCACTGGGGAGTGCTATCGACTTACTACTTTGCACTCTGTAGTGCAAAATTAGCACCTCCAGGAGTGGTCCATTTTCGCACTGCGAAAGTGCGAAATTTGCACCACTAGGAGCGAATCAGCTAGAAACTTTTTAGTGAGAGGACCTTTGATGAAAATGTCATCAATATGTGATAAGGTCACTGAAAATAGATGGCGAGACTGATGGCCAAAATTTGGTGAGACAAAAAAGTCTCGCCATTCTGTGGCGAGAAACATAAGTCTCACCATTTTTTTTGGCGAGAAACAAAAGTCTCACCATTTTTTGGCGAGAAACAAATGTCTCGCCAAAATATGGCAATAATTGACTGGGCAATAATTGACTGGGCAATAATTGACTGGGATGTTTTTCCCGGTATCCAATAGAGTAAGGTTGCAATTATTGCAATATTTTGGCGAGACATTTGTTTCTCGCCACAGAATGGCGAGACTTTGTTTCTTTCCCCTAAGATGGAATGAATTCCTTCCTTTGACTTTTCAGTGGTTGTCGTCATTTGAAAGTGATGAAAATATCATTGTGCAATGATGAAGTGACAACAAATTTTCAGTGTCTGGATCCACCACTGGTCCCACCCACCTCCTGGTGCGACAGCCACAGCTCCAGGCTGCGCAGGTGCCGCAAGCCGACCACACAGCCCACGTGCATGAGGTTGGCGGCCAGGCTGCGGAGCTGGGCGCAGTGCGACACGCTCTCCAGGAGCTTGGGCGGCAGGCCGCGCGGTGTTTTGCCGGCTCGGATCAGGAACCTGCCCAGCTGGTGCTCGTCGGGCAGGCGGAGGTGGCGCAGCCTGGCGGCAGTGCCGCGCACCAAGTCCACCATCAGCTGGGGAGGGCCCTCCCTCTCAATCTCCAGGGACCTGCGGGCAGAGCGCAGAACGTCGCGACATGACACATCAACCACTCTGGAAACGCAGGAGAGAGCAGAGCATGGCATGCTCTACATGTTCACATGGGCATAAACCACGAAGAACGCTTCATTCTGGAGAAAGCTTCCAAGCACGTTCTAGCCTGGAGCACCCAAGGCAAGCGCAGTGATAAAGTCACTGTAAGAAGGTTTCACATCAATGAAAATGCATGCTTCACGCTGTTCAGTGCCCAGCATGCTTTACCCTGGAGCGTATCTATGAATGCTCCAAGCTAGATCGTGCTTCCGAGTAGCACTCCCTGAGGCGAAGCGCGCTTTGAGACTTACTCTCAGGTGGAGCATGCCATGCACTCTCTTGTATTTCTAGAGTACAGAACAATTAAATTCACATTAACGTGAAACATGATGGTTGGCTGATATCAGCAATATTGCCCGGAATTATCTTAGAAAAACTACGCAAAATATTCGAGAAACACGAAAATTTCGGGTTCTTTTGGCCCGCCCTGCTATTTAAAAAATTTGGGGGAGGGCCAATGCACTTGCCTTTGGGTCTGTGTGTCGTCGTCGTCTGTGTACAAGGAGGGAGTCAACCTAGAGTTCCCAAATTTGGAAGGCACGATAGAGTGCCTTGGATCTTGGAAAAAGGAGGACAACCGACTGAAAAATTTTATTGCGGTTTTCGATAGGTCTCGCCAAGACCTTTTCAACGAGTGGTGGTGATTCCAGACAGTACAAGGTTTTCTTTTTCAGATAGGCAGATTTTTGCCTCATGGTTTTAAGCTCTGTCCCATTGCTGTATGTCTAAAGCATGCTTTTGCATGGGTTTGCAAACCCGCATTGACTTCCATTCACTCTCAAAACCTTGCGAAGAATGTATTCACATTACAAACCATTTGGTTTGCAGCTTGCAAAGAATTTGGCTTGATTGTGTTACAAACTGATAGTCCGCAATTTTGCGAACAATGTGTTTTGCAAAGGGTTCGCAATACAAACAGGTTGTTCGCAAATTGCGAAGCACTTGTTCGCAAGTTGCGAACTACTGATTTGCAATACGGATGCGTTCGCATTGCGAACAAGTCAGGTTCGCAAGCTTACAAACACATCGGTTCGCAAGGTTTTGAGAGTGTTGCATATGAAAATTCTGTTAAGCAGAAGTTGTCGGTCCCTAGATCAAAACCGACTATAGAAAGCATGAACTCAAATTTAGGCATTTAACCAGCATTTTTGGTGTTCCCATCCCCTTAATTATAACTAAGGGCAACCGTACTAACCTAAGCGCGGGAAGTAGGTCCTCCTTGACTTGGAACTCCGCGGCGTACGGAAGAAAGAACTGCATTTCCAGCCCCAGCGATTCCAGGCGCCGCAGCTCCGCCAGTATTTCCAGCAGGGAACGAGAGTCGTCACCGTCTGCCTCGACCCAGGCAGCCACCTTGTCGCTCTGGTCTTCCTCCAGGGCCAGGTCGCACTCCTCTAAAGCCACTGCTTCCCAACGAAATAGAGACTTAGAAAAGGAATATTCAACACAGATAAATACCTACAAAGATCCGCTCTTTGTAATACGAAGAAAACGGCGGCTTCGCAACCTGCGAAGAAGTTCTTCGAACGCTACGAAGAATTTCTCCTTTGTATTACAAACAAAATCGTTCGTATTACAAACGATTTCCTTCGCAGGCTGCGAAGCCGCCGTTTTCTTCATATTACAAAGAGCGGTTCTTTGTCGAGTTTTAAGTGTGAAAATAAAGGTTCACTGCAGGAAATAACCACAACAAAAGTACACAAATTTCTGGCAAATTTTTTATCAGGTTTTTATAGTACTTTCAAAGTACAACAATTGTTGTACAAAGTACAATGGAACCGGCATGACGAGTGCTGGGCAGTGCAGGCCTCGTTGTGGTTTGTACAATTCTCGTTGTACTTTCTACAGTCCCTGTTGTACTTTTATTGTACATTTTTTGTTGTACATTTGTTGTGCTATTCACACTTTTTCTTGCAGTGTTGATCAGGATCGGAAAGTAGCACCTGACCTCAAATTGTTTCTTTGCCAGAAGTTCTCACCTGCATCGAACATGTCCTCCTCCTCTTCGTCCTCTACCCACTCCTGGGGCGTCTCCAAGCCGAGGGTGGTCAGGTGTTCCCTGTTGCGCCAGAGCAGGCCGTAGAACACAGCCCAGGCAGGGTCGGCCATGAAAGATGCGCCGTCCATGAGGATCTCGCGTATGGCCGCACGGCTGCGACGCACAGCCGACAGGGCCATGGCTTGAGGTACGTTGATGTGCTGCCCGAGGTAGTTCCAAGACCAGCTGGTTGACAAAAAAAAAGTAGGAATACAGACGAAAGCTCTGTCGAAATTTCATTCTAACTCCAAAAGCCCTGCACGCTGAAAACCATGCAAGGTGCACAGTATTTAGTTCAAAATACGAAGAAATAATTTCGTAAAGTACGTACATTTCTTTTCAAGGTCACGAATGCTTAACATACTGTGCTATGAAGCTACTTTACTTCGTAAGGCATATATAGTTCGTGAGGTTTTCAGAGTGTGTTTAGGTTTTATTAAAATCTCAAGAGCTCTGGCAATTGTTTATTTAAGTTGTTCTTTTTAAAAATAAATTTCTGTCCATTTACATAATTGAATGAAAGAGCTTAGGACCGAATCTATCGGACAATGGTCAATTCAAGTGAGAACTCACTAAAATTCACTTTGAACCCGTGGAATTTTCATTTATAGTTAAATGTCATTCTGTGCAGCCTCCTTACTTGAAGAAAAGTACAAAATTTTCCCAATCAAATATTGTAGACTCAGCATCTGTCCACACTCTAAATGTCTAATAATGAAATTTGAGCTAGTTTATCATACTGTGAGTTCGGCGCAAGCATAATACTAAGCTATATTTCTTTATAATAGGGATCTAATATTTTTATTATACAATACAAACAAAAACCTTCGTAATACGAACAAAACCCCTTCGTATTATACTTGCGCCATTGAAGAAATTGTTTCGTGAGACATTTGGAGTGTAGACGCAGCCATTATGGAACGACCGTTCACAAGGAAAGAACGAAAAGCAGAATTCCGTTGGTAGAGCGACGAAAAGGAAGAAGAAATAGTGAAACTGACCCGAGAAAGCGCAAGACGGGGGCGTGCAGCACCACGCGCGCCTTGTCCATGGCGGCCTTTTCTCTCTTGGCGCGCTCGGTGCCTCGCCAACGCCAACACCACATGCCGAACTCGACGCGCACGCCGCGCCAGGCCTGCGGGTCACGTGACAGGGCGTGCCAGCGTTTGCACACCAGTGCCACGCCGTCAAGCAGCGTCTCGCCGTCCTGGAGCCACGAAAACACCTCCAGCAGCAGCTCGGTGGGTAGGCTGTCCATGGCCGGGCAGCACCAAGGGGCTTACAGCTACAGCAACACTCTGCCAACACATTTTCCGACGCACCTTCAATCTTGAAGTCCCAGCGACCACTCTATCTGAAGTGAATTTTTTTCAGACTACAAGGTCTGCAATTTTAGACCTACATGGTCCAAACATTATGACCCTAGTCTAAAAGCGAGATTCAGACGGACAAGTCAGACACTTTCGGTCTGAATTTCCAGAACTTATGACAGTATACCTGTCTCTGCACACTTTTCGGAAAGTCGAGGGGTCCACTGAAAGGGTGAGAATCGCGACAAAAATTTGGCAAGGAATATTTCTCACAGTCTTGCACTGCAGGAAATAACCACAACAAAAGTACACAAATTCCTGGCAAATTTTTTATCAGGTTTTTATTGTACTTTCAAAGTACAACAATTGTTGTACAAAGTACAATGGAACCGGCATGACGAGTGCTGGGCAGTGCAGGCCTCGTTGTGGTTTGTACAATTGTCGTTGTACTTTCTACAATCCCTGTTGTACTTTTATTGTACATTTTTTGTTGTACATTTGTTGTACTATTCACACTTTTTCTTGCAGTGTGAGGTGAAAATAAAAATTCTCACCAAATTTAGGCACATGAACTGTTCTTCCAAGCCACTAGTGTGTTGTGAATTTCTCACCACTTCATGGCGATCTCAACGCTACAGAGGTGGGGATTTTTATTTTCACCACACAACGGTGAGAATTATTCGAATGTGACACAATGCTCAAAGGAAAGTAAAGTTTTGTCACACTCGTTTCAACGTGATGTCACGATCCTGGAATAAGAGTAAACACACTTCTGCGCGCACTACTGGATTCCTTTATCTTTCATCTTCAAACTAGCGTGAATTATATCGTGACCTCTTTTGTTTCGAAGAAGTCTCATGATCGTATGAATACGTTCAATAGAGTACTCCAAAGAAGCTCTAGCCCGGAAGAAGAACAAAAACGGAAGTAAGAAATTGCAGTTTCTACACTGCAGGAAATAACCACAACAAAAGTACACAAATTTCTGGCAAATTTTTTATCAGGTTTTTATTGTACTTTCAAAGTACAACAATTGTTGTACAAAGTACAATGGAACCGGCATGACGAGTGCTGGGCAGTGCAGGCCTCGTTGTGGTTTGTACAATTGTCGTTGTACTTTCTACAATCCCTGTTGTACTTTTATTGTACATTTTTTGTTCTACATTTGTTGTACTATTCACAATTTTTCTTGCAGTGTATGAGACATATACGCGGCGCATGAGGGTCCGCTAGAGTCCTAAAGGCCCCTTGGGGAGAACCGTCAACTTGAAAAGTGTAATTTTTATTTCTCATACATCCGAAAATTTATGCGCCATTCCTCATATACTGATGATCAAAATGGCGTCGCTTTGTTTTGATGTTGTGTCGTCTGCTCCGAGTCTCGTGAGGTCAAGAGACTTGACAGCGCTTGCAATAGGCCTAAAAACATCCTCACCTCTTTAAATTATTTCATTGAAGATCCCTCGAATGTGGGAGATAAATAGTAAAGCCATTTTGAGGCTCACTGCTGAATTTTTAAAATCCCCGCCGGAAGCGGAAGCGCTCGGCGGACATTTTGATCGTCAGTATGAGCATCGAATCGGTCAGAAGTCAGTAACGCAGTTGACGGTTCTCCCCAAAGGGCATTAAGGACTCTAGGGTCCGCAGCGTATATTTCTCATAGAAACTGCAATTTCTTACTTCCGTTTTTGTTCTTCTTCTTCCGGGCCAGAGCTTCTTTAGAGTACTCTATTTAGGCTTGGGTGGCGAAATTTCTAGAACCCGATAGATCATTCTAGTCGTCGGCAAGTAAAGAACAAGAAGAATCACAAAACCGGAAATGGCATCGGCAACTTCACCTCACTCGTTCCGTGGCTTTAATTTTAGAGATTGACGAAGCGGCTCTCTTACCAAATCAATGGGAACTTCGGAGGATGCAGACCGGAAGTCAACGTCGAAACATGAGAAATCTCCACCAATGCTAAGCACCTTCGCTGATCCACTTCATTTCCGGTTGAATGATACTTCCTGTTCTTCGACGTCGATGACTTCAAAAAGTCCTTGGAACCAAGATCACTTGTAAATCGGTGACATGTACACAGTAAAAACTCTACGAAGAACCGCTTAGTAATACGAAGAAAATGAAGGCATTGTAAAATCTACGAAGAAATGCTTCGTATTACGAGGCAAAATCCTTCGCAATACGAAGCATTTCTTCATAATTCAAAGCAATTCTACAATGTCTTCATTTTCTTTGTAGTTATGAAGTAAATGCTTCGTGGGCTTTTAAGAGTGTAGGGACTAATCAGCGCTCTGGTGGAAATGTGCAATAGGGTGCTTCGGAGAAGAGCTGGGACGGAAGTTGAGTGGAAATCAAGAAGAATAAAAGACTACTTTGCAAAAGAAAAGAGCTCTGTGCAGAAATTGTCCATACTTTCGTCTTCTGAATTTCCTCTCAACTTCCGCACCAGCCCATCTCTGAAGAACCCTTATCCGTACCACATGTTACGCAGTATTGGACCTGTTGAAACTGAGCTCTATGTCGTAACTGTCGCTTACCCCTCACCTAGGCGTAACGTAACGAGTGCCCTATTCTCACCCAATTGTGGGTGTTAAATTGGTCCTTTTACACTGAAAGTCCCTACGCTATTAATATACCGTCAATTGGTTTTTGCATTACTCCCGTGCATTAGCATAGGGCATTTTCAAGAGCATGCTCGTAAGGCGCAATATGGCGATGGCATTGCACGCATGGCGCGATGTCTCAGTGAATTGCACCACACGTCGTATTCATAGTGTTTGGAATCTCAAGGTAGTCGTTTGAGTGGATGACAATAGCAATTAAAACGCAGGAACCAGCTAGCGTGAACTTACTTCCTCCAGACGCTTTCGACCAATTCAAGTTCAGCTTTCCACAGTTTACAGTACACTGCAGGAAATAACCACAACAAAAGTACACAAATTTCTGGCAAATTTTTTACCAGGTAGTTAGTGTACTTTTCAAGTAAAATAGTTGTTGTACAAAGTACAATGGAACCGCCATGACGAGTGCTGTGCAGTCCAGGGCTCGTTGTGGTTCGTACAATTCTCGTTGTACTTTCTACGTACAATCCCTGTTGTACTTTTATAGAACAGTTTGTGTTGTGCTTTTACTGTACTATCCACACTTTTTCAAGCAGTGTAACGGCCGCTTAGTGGCGCCTGCCTTCTTTCTTCACCCGGTGACGCATGAAAGGGCCTAGTTTACTTCGCCCAAAATTTGGCTCTGATGAAAACTGTTTCATTCTCAGTATACATAGGGGTACGGAACCGGAGGTCAAAATTAGTCCAAACCTGCGTAACATTACTTACCTTTGGCCTGTCAGTGTCAATGATTCCCCACTAAGTCCTTACTTTCACTCTTAAAAGCTTGAAAAGCACTTTGCACTACAAAGTATTCTCCGGCTTTGTATTACGAACTCCCTTGCCAATTTGTTTCTTCGTATTGCACAGAAATACTTCGTTATTGCGAGGAAAAAAGTTTGCAACGTTGCGAAGCATTGGTTTGTAACGTTGCAAAGCATTTTCTTTGCAAGTTGCAAAGTAATACTTCGCAATGCAAGGGAAATAGTTTGTACGAGAGTTTGCAACACAATGGCGGCAAATACTTCGCGAGGTTTTTAAATTGTTCTGTCTGTCTCAAGTTGTCAGGTCTTCATCGTGCCGCTCTCACAGTTGCGGCGCCGTCGAGCATTCCTCCTTCACAAAGATGTCCGACGCCAAAGATCCCGTTCCCGCCGAGATCGTTGCCACCGACGGCGAGGTGGCCGCGTCCGACGACGTTGAGGAGTGCGAGTCCGTGCCCTCGAGGAGCGTCGCCGCCAAAGACAACGTCTCTGAGGAGGAGTCGGACCAGGAGGGAGCCGTCGCCGTCCCTTTCAGCAGCTCAGCCGATCAGGCAAGTGAAGAAACTTCGCTAGCACTCAGAAAAAAAAACGTTAACGCTAACTCTAACGTGAAAACAGATGATACTGACTAGAATATTAATTTTAGTGTATCGCAATTCATGATTAACACGTGCTTGGTTTAATGGACGAAAATGTTAATTTTGATTTAACTATCGAAGGTCCTGTGCGAACAAGTTTCTCACATGCAACGCTCGACCAGCCGCCCTATCAAGTTTAATCCCGCATTGTGCTTGAAGGCGGAAACGCAGCACCAAAAGCCATGCTAATACAACTACCAATTTTAATATTTTGAATTTTAAAAATTTGAATGGTGCATTGCAAAGAACGGGAGAATACGATTAAAACAATAACAGGGTTGTGCATACACTGTAAAAAATTCCGTCCTTTCGTACGGAAATGGTACAGAAAAATATAGTACGGAGGTACGGAGAAAAGTACGGATCGTTCCGTACTTGCTCCATATGAACCCATGTAAATGGGTACGGAAAAAAAGTACGGAACGTTCCGTAGTTGGCAAGTACGGACGTTCCAGGCAAATTATTGACCAGACATGTTCCGTACTTTTTTCTCGCAGTGTATTTAAAATTGAACGTTCGACCGCTAGAGGCGCCAAACCGCAATATGTGGCGACGCCGGGACGCCGGGACGCCGCACGGTAAAAGCGGTACCTGGTTTTCCCAGGAGCCCTCTGGCGAAGACATAGGAGATTTCCAGGGGGTTCCTGGGAAAACCAGGAACCGTTTTCACCGTGCGGGACAGCCTCCGACTGTGTAGAGAAGAGTATGGCGGTGGGGTGGGGGGTCTTGGGGCTGAGGACCGAGGCGGCTGCTCAGCGCTGCTTACCGCTGTCGGGTTAGGTATCCGATGCCACTGCCTCTGCCACAACTGCTACGTACTTCTCGCTACAACTGTTTAACTGCTATGTGCTATTGCTTCATTTGCACTTGCTTTGGTATACGTCTGATTGCAAAACTGTTGGTTGCGATCGAGAGTCAAAGCTAGCTGATTTAACATCATCTGCTAAAAAGTCGACGAAGCATCGCTTCCCCATACGAAGGAAACGACGCATTGTGCACAGAAATGCTTTTCGCCATTGTGCTCAGAAATGCTTTTCGCATTAGCAAAACCCTTGGCCACATACGAAGCTTTTCTTTTTATGAAACGAAGCAATCCGAGGGCTCCTATTCAAAAGATCTTATCTAGGCGTTCCCCCCAAGAGAATCTTATCTTAAACGCAGGTGAATTTCAGTTAGTGTGATCATTTGAAACAGTTACATATCAATTAAATTTGCGATTCAGTTCACGTAAATCTGAAGATGGAAGATCAAAGAAACCAAAAGTGCATGTAGAATTATAATCCGTTTACTGTCGTATTTATCCCAAATGATCAGAAAGAGTGAAATCTGCCTGTCTTTAAGATAAGATTCTCTTGGGGGGAACGCCCAGATAAGATCTTTTGAATAGGACCCGTCTTGGACCCGTTGAATTCTAGAATGCCTTAATTTTCTTCGTAGTTGCGAAGCAAATTTTTCGTAGATGAAGCAAGTGCTTCGTGGATATTTTCTTGAGCGAAGGCAAGAATACTGTTAATCAACGTAACCCTTTTGGTGGCCTATTTTGTGTCCTTTATTGGGTGCTTTCTTTTCACTTCGTGGTGATTTTTTTGGCCCTTTTTTGAGACCTTTTTCGACGCCGTTTTTAGTGACGTTTACAATTGGTGACCTTCTTAGTGCGCTAACTGCCGCTTATTTTTAGCCTAATAACCCAAACCTGCCTACACACTAAGTTACTAGGTAGTTTTTTTGTGCTTAAGCTATGCACGAAACGTGCATGCGTTCCAAAATGCATGATTTTGTGCGCATTTGCGCACGAAATTGTGCGTTTTAGCACTTGAAACGCATGCACAGGTTCGTGGGTCCGTGCATAGCTGATGCCCATAAAACTACATAGTAATTTAGTGTGTACAACTTGCGGTCGTGATGTCGGTCTGATGCGAGTGTGTCATTGCGACTGCCCGCTTCCAGGATGCCGAGTTCTGCGCCGTGTGCTACAAGCCGGCCAGCCTGCGTTGCCAGCGCTGCGGGGACGAGACCTACTGCTGCGAGTCCCACTTCAAGGACGACCGACAGAGACACCGCCGGTGGTGTGTGCCCCGCACCAACCCGGACGAGGACCCTGAGGACCTCCCCGACGTCGTGCAGGTCAGTTGATGTTCAATGGAGAAGTAGTTTGCTTCCTCCTCGAAAGGTTTGGCTTACTATAACCGTCCCACTCCAAATTCAAAGGTGGTACTCCTCGTATCTCTTTTGGCGATACAATTGAGTATCGCCAAAAAGGGGCGTTGCCTTCGGAGCCAGCGGTGCCAAACAGAAGTATCGTCAAAATGTAGCGATGAATTTTGAACAAATGAACGGGGTTCACTGTTTATTGCCGAATTATGGTTATACCATTGTGCATTGCCGTTTTGCTGGCCAGATTTTCGGTATGACCGTTTTATGGCGATTCTCAATTGTGTGTCTAAAAAGATACTCGTACGCTCTCAGTCTCATGTAGACTTTTCATCTCTTGCCATTAAGTTTTTTGTGAAAATGTATTCAGTCCATTAAAGCTGACTTTTTGTCATTTGCAAAGATCCGCTGAGGCCTACACTCTCAGCCCTATATGGACTTTTTTCTCTCTTGCTTATAGCGTTTTTAGCAGATGATACATTTACTTAAAACATGCCTAAAACTACAACTACAAGACACATAAAGGTGTCAGCTAGCTTTTCCAAAGCTTGAGTCCAAAAAAAACCAAGTGCGTATCCTAACAATATAATAGGGGCTGGCTGCCGGGGCTGCCAAGTCATTGTTAGTTCATTTCACAGGTGGAATCGTAATCAAACCTTGTCTCTGATTTGCCCCTGATTTGGCTCGTCGAAACATAATCCTGACAGGCTGAAACGACTCAAAACACAAGGAAGAAAGTAGAAGATATTCATCACATCACTATGTTTATCTTGGGATCATAGCTTATCCTATTCTTTTATACCCAGGCTACTAATGAGTCATTTCTCCGCTAAAGTCCTTCAGACTACGGAGTGAAATTTACGCTTTCTTCCATTGCTCCACTCTCAGCCTTTTACTGACTTTTTCTCATCAGCTTACGCATTTCTGTAAGCAACCATAATACTTAGTATTTTTTGTCAGTATTACTTAGCAATTGCTAATTACTGTACTGATATTACCGTTTCCTTAGTAAATTACAAAGAAATTTTTAAGTATTTAAGGACTAAATACTAAGTATTATGGTTGTTTACAGAAATACGTCTGCTAATGAGAAATAGTCAGTAAACGGCTGAGAGTGTCCCAAACCAAGTCTGTGCCCAGGCTGAAATTTTGTACAGTTACGAGGACCAAGAAAAGGTACTTTCTCAAATTTTTTCAATTTTTTTTTCAAAAAATCGTTTTTGATATCTAGAAAAACAAATTGAAGTTCAACTTTTTTTCAAACAGTAAAAGATTTTCAAAATTCTTGAAAAAATTCTTAAATGTTGTCCTCATGCCCCCTAAGACCTGGTAAAATTTTCAAGTCCCTAGGTCAAGCCCTTCCCATCGATTTGTACCTTCAAAGTTGACTTTTACCAAAAAGTCGCAAAACACACTAAGGCCCACTGCTCCGGACTGGGTCGACCTAGGACCTTCAAAATTTGTGGGCATCTTTCTCTACCCTAGGGGTACATGTGGTAAAATTTTGGTCCAGATCGGTGACACAAAAGAAACCTTGTGCTCCCGAGATATGGAATCACTCAAGAGATACAGTCAATACGAGTCTGAGAGTGTAAAGGCGCAATGATGATGTGTTGCAGGACGCGCCCATCCTGGCGCTGAGCTTGGAGGTGTTGCTGGGCATCTGCGGCCGCCTGCCCGCCATGGACCTGGTGCGGCTGGGCCAGACGTGCCGCACGCTGCGGGCAGTGTGCCGCGACCCGCACGCCTGGAGTCACGTGACCTGGGAGGGCGGTTACCTCGGCGACGGCGTCCTCAAGGTGGCGCCCGCACTGCTCGCCATCCACGTGAACGAGTCGTCGCTGGACGAGCCCGACGTGAACCTGCTGCGCTGCACTCACCTCGTAAAGGAGTTCCACCTGGAGTGGGACGCGCTCGAGCAGGAGCCGTTCGACGTGGACCGCATCATTCCCCTGCTGAGGCACTACCATCCCCACCTGGAGGTGAGCACTACACTGAGACAAGATGGTGCCCTGAAACTGACCGACTAAGTCGCCCGCCCCAGTTTTTAGGGCGACCTGAGTCGCCTACTTTCTGGGCGACACAGTCGCCTAGTTTCTGGGCGACACAGTCGCCTAGTTTCTGGGCGACACAGTCGCCTAGTTTCTGGGCGACACAGTCGCCTAGTTTTAGGACATCTTGGTCCTGTAAATACTGAGCTTACTTATCTATGCTGGCCCAAGGCATTGCACACCAGTTTTCCTGATCATGGATAAACTCAATGGATTTCACATTGGGGTGGCGTCAGAGATGCCCCGAATCTAGGCGCAATGGGTGCCCCGAATCTAGGCGCAATGGGTGCCCCGAATCTGGGCAGCAGTGGTTTACATTAGGTCGGACCAACCCCAAAAGTGCTCAGGTTGTGGGCGCCTTGGGCCAGCATTGATAAGTAAGCTCTGTATTTACGACCAAAATGCCTTAAAACTAGGCGACTGTGTCGCCCAGATACTAGGCGACCGTGTCGCCCAGAAAGTAGGCGACTCAAGTCGCCCTAAAAACTGGGGCGGGCGACTTAGTTGGTCAGTTTCTGGGCACCACCTTGTCTCAGTGTAGTGCCGCGCAGTGGCGGATCCAGAGGAGACCTTTCAGGGGGCCACGGTAGGCACTTTTGCTTCCCAGGTCCGCTTTCGCTGAAAAACCAAACGTGATCTAGACCGCACCACTGGTGAGGAAATTGGTGCCATTTTGACCGTATCAGTTGGTGTGGTCTACTAGTCTAGACCACGTCTGGCCACGTTTTGTGTTATCTTTCCATGCAATGACCACACCAAACGCACCAAACGTGGTGTGGACCACGCCAACTGATGCGGTGAAAATGGCACTCATTTGACCACACCGCTTGGTTTTTCAATCTTGACCAGGTTTAGTTAGGGTTCACGCCAGTCAGCAGTCAGGAAAAATAAGACGGGCACTGGAAGTCAGAGAAAGTCGATTCTTGGCTAGGGAAAAATTGTTAAGTTGGCCACAGGATGGATTATAAACGCCGCACGTGTGGAAGCCGCATGCACTGGACTCTGGAAGTGCACAAAATTTTGAAAATTAAGTCGAGGAAAATTGGTTTCATCTACACAGGAATGGTCAGGGAAAACGAAAAAGGGAATCTGGAGTGATCTCTGATTTTATGGGTTTAAACTCAGCGGCCGTTGGGCATAAGGACGTAAGTCACATGGGAAACCCATTGAAAATAGGTTGTTCTGTCCGATGACCACTCAACTAACTGTGTAGAATTCTGTATCGGACGGAGTGACCCTTAGGTTGGACTGCTTATTGTTAAAAGTAGGATTCCTCGTTTATGTCGTTTTTGAATGTGTCATCAGGTCGTGAAACTGGGGTGTCTCAACAAGTTCATGAGAGATGTGGAAACCGACGACATGAGGCTGCTTCGGTACATAGATGGCCTCGACATCAAGGAGCTGTACATCAAGCGCAGGCTGGCGAAGGTCTACCCGGGGAGCTCGCAAGTCATCACCAGCTTGTGCTGGGGCACTGAAGTGAGCGAGGATGTGCTGGCGGACTTCGTCTTCAACTGCCGTGAGACGCTTACCAGCTTCTACGTGAGTCACGTCTCCTACACTCTCATCCCAAAATCGACATTTTTTCATTATTCAGTGGCGTTTCTGCACATTGACAGAGTTTCGTTGAGCAGCTTAGATGGATGCTTGCCATGTAGACACTGTGCGTTTGAAAGTTTGTACTTGCCAAGTGTGCATTTGTAAGAGTGCGTGAACACACTGAAGATGAAGGAGTTACCCCACCCCTCACTTGGGTGATGCAACTTTCTTGACTGGTGACTGGTGAGGAAAAGTTCGTCACCTGAAATTTGGCAACAGGCGTTTCGTCGTCCAAATTGGAGTGACATCGGTGACGTTTGAGAGGTCCCCGATGACGTCCTTCCGGGGTCTACCATGCCCCCCCCCCCCGGCCGTGTGTCCATTACGCAAATTTGGGTGATGAATTTCTGACTGCCAAAATTAAATCACAACTCCTTATCGTTTATGATTTTGTACGAGACATCCCAGTTTTTTGTGCTCACGAACTTCTCGTACAATTTTTGTACTAAAAACCTCACATATTTCCCCATTTTAGTGCCAAATTGCGTACAATTTTGTACGAAAAATGGGTGTGCTCTAAAAACTGCGGTGTCTCGTACAAAATTTGTACAAAAACATCTAGTGTGTGTGCTGAACTCGTGACCTGAAATCAGGCGAAGGTGCGTGCGTCACTCAATGAAAGGGCGGTGTAGAGAACAAATTTTGACTGCCTTGTTCCCAAATGCACAGTAAAAACGCTACGAAGAATCGCTTCGCAACACGAAGAAAATGAAGGCATTGTAAAATCCACGAAGAAATGCTTCTTATTAAGAAGCAAAATCCTTCGTAATACAAAGCATTTCTTCATAATACGAAGCAATTCTACAATGCCTTAATTTTCTTTGCAGTTATGAAGCAAATGCTTCGTAGGCTTTTTAGAGTGTGACATCGACTTGCTCCCTCCAGCTTGACGCCTACTACATGAAGTACAACGACTGGGCGTACCCGCCGCACGTCTCCGTGATGCGCGCGCTGATGCAGTGCCCAAAGCTGCAGGAGGCCTGGGTGCCGGTGTGGGACGGCAGCCTGTCCATGCTGCGCTCCTGGCCCGAGCTGCACACGCTGCGACTCTACGTGTGCCCGTCCATCGACCACCGCGCCGCCAGGAAGAACCTCCTGGCCGCCCCCGCCGCCAAGACCCTCCAGTCCCTGTACCTGGCGATGGAGGGCGGCTTCCGCGGGGACCGCAAGTTCCTGGCCGCCGTGGCCGAGGCCTGCAGCGGCCTGCGCCAGCTGGAGCTGCAGTACGCGTACGTGGACAGCCGCTGGCGCGGCGACCCCAAGGACATCCCCGAGGACCTGCACGTGATCCTCGGCCCCCTCCTTTGCCTGGAGGAGCTGCACCTCGGCGAGACCACGGTCCCGGAGTCGTTCTTGCGGGGCCTGGCCCAAGGCGCGCTCCCCAGGCTGCGGAGCTTGTCCCTCACGGAGTGCGAGGTGAGTGCATTGTACATCGACGGGTCCGTTTCAAAAGATCTTATCTGCGTTCCCCCCGAGAGAATCTTATCTTAAACGCAGGCAAATTTCACTTTGTCTGAACATTATTATTCTGTTTCTTAAACTCCGACTGTCGTTTTCCGCAGGAGGCACCAGAAGGGTGCGACGCTCGGGCCCAGCTTCGGCTTCTGCGCCCAGACCTGAGCCTCTGCGAGTAGACTGTGGCGATGCGCGAGCCCGATGGAGACTGCGGCCTTCGACAGCTGACAGCCCTGAAGTGCCGGCCCTGACTTCGCGGATACCACACCACTCTCATGAACGGACCGACCCCATGTACTGAGTCAAGAAGTGTGAACGATTGATTATGACAAGGTTGAATCCATTCGGAACCGCAGGGTGGATTTAAGATGTATTTTTATTTCGTGATTATTAATACGGTTTCTTAATTCGGTGGATTAGAAAGTAAACATGAGAACGATCAGATTTGGAAATCGATATTTATTATTGTAGTCAGGTTTAGTTCGACGACATACCTTTGTAGTCTTTCGTTTTCTTCAAGGTAGCCTTGTAAATATACACTGTAATTCTTTGCAGCCCGGATGTTGGCGTCGGGTCATTGGTGATATCCTTTCCTTTGCTGTTACACTGACAAACTTTTAATGTGCATCGCTTCAAGTACTTTTCTAGAGTATGAAAAGCAAAATGAGGGCATTTTTTAAGTTCGTTCTAGAGTATGAAAAGCAAAATCATAACATTTTTTAAGTTCGCGGATCTCCGACCCAAGGGCCCGCCACAAAATGCGAGTCTATTCTGGACGAGTCTATGTTGGAGTTTCACCGTAGAGGTTAGAACGAAAAATCAATGTAGGAATGGTTTGCGCCTCTCGTTCCCCTCCTCACCGCATTCCTCCATCGCATGGGATCCTTTTTTCAGGTCACTCACAGGTGAGTGTAGTTCAGAATTGTAGATGGAATGTTGTCTTTGCTAACTGTGTTTGCCTCTATTGATGTCATCTTCTCTGATGCCAACCTTATTTTTAGGCACGAAGTAGCCTTATAGCAGGGGGCGGTAACACTACAAAGCAGGAGTGAGGTGAAGCTCTCGCTTCCTGCAGGGGTTACGGACTTCTTCGAGATTATTAAAACTAGGCCATTGTTTTCAAAACGCTTTGCACAGATCGAAAGAGCATCAAATTTAGGGTGCATTAGACGCATTGACCTTCCCAAAACTCCCAATTTTACTGAGTACAAAAGGGAAAATCGCGGAAATGTTTACACAAAGATGGCGCTTAATTATTAGGCTTATAGTATTTTTCGATGTTTTAACTTAAAATTTTTGGGGGCTGAAGTAGCAGTTAAGGGATTGCCAATGAGTCTAATGCACCCTTTATGGGATGCTCTATCGATATGTGCAAAGCGATTTTCAAACAATGGCCTAGTTTGAATAATCTCGAAGGAGTCAGTGACCCCTGCACGAAGCAAGATCGGAGCGAGAGCTTCGCCTCACTGCCGCTTTAGGATGTTACCGCCCCCCTGCTTATAGGAGCAGTTGCCAAAATTCGGGGCACTTTTGAAGGCCATAGAACCGCAAGAAAAAAATGTGGAAAAGTCGGCTTTTTTCTCGGCCAATTTATTCAGTGATGTCCCACGACTTATATCTGAACGCAGTCGAGCTCCCGGTGCAATATTGCAGAAAGACCAAAAAGCCCCTATCAAAAGTATAGGGGAAAGACACGGAACGTTACAGAAAACAGCGGGATACGGAACGTTACATTGTCATTCAAACAGGCCTAGTAACTCTCTTGCTATGAATTAAAACACGCCATTTGGTGTGAGCTCCTGTTTTAGGATTCCTCAACACGTCCCGATAGAATCATATCTCTGTTTGGTCTAGAACTTGCCCGGGGAACAGAATAGCATTTTAAAATCATGGTCGGACACTACCGAAACATAACCTATAAAACAAGATTCTGAGCTTTCTATTAACTTCTCAGAGTTCCCGTTTGCACCATTCGACGGCAAAAATGCTACAGATTAATCTGACGACAAGGCCGAGAACTATCAGTGGAGTACAACGCGAGAAACCGTGATAATTCACATGTAACGTTCCGCAAAGTCAACCACGGAGGACATTTTGCGTTTACAGATTGCACCCAAATCGAGCTCGTATAAACGAGTTCAGTAACATGTGTCTGATAGATAAAATAATAAAGTTTCCGAATATCTTCTCAGAATCGTTCTACGTTCCATATTAGCTGAAATATAAGCATCGAAACTTTGAATTTTTGGACGGGGGACATGCCGGAACGTTACAAAATGACCCTTTGGAGCACTTTATCGACATCTTCTGAATTGAAAAAGTGGTGACTTTAGATGGATAAGAGTGGGCGACGTCGAGCCCAACACAACGCACCAAACCGCATCTCAATACGTTGAAAAATAACGATAATAGAGCCAAAAGACACGAAAGATACCCTTATTTTGGCAACTGCTCATAGTATACCCAGGGTTCAGCTGGCGCGAGATTCAATTTGTGTGGCCCTTTATGCATTTTGGAAATTTTCTATAGGATTTTAATGAGATTTTACAGACTAGTAGAACTTTGAACGCTGATTCTAATGTTGAAATGTGGTTAAAAAGTTAACGGCCAATTTTGGGAAATTTGTTGTCAAAATCGCTGTTTCCATGGCAAAACTCGACTCGTCAAGGAAAAAGGAACGGAGTGGGGGGAGCCGAGCCGGACCCGACCAATAGCTGAGCTCCTTTTCGGCTCTGTACAGCTAACCCCAAAAGATGAAAAAGCACGTTCGAAATGAAAAATCTCTTTGACTGCAGCTAGAAGAGATCCAACAATAGCATTCACGTTGTTTTCGGACGCGGCCATTTGGATCGGCCGGCCGGTCAGTGACTTTTTAAGATAGTGTCCCGCACCAATTCCGCACCGCTGCGTTGTTGTTTTTTTGAAAATTTTTGTTACTCTTATAGAGCTGTGCAGTCCAGGCCTCGCTGTACTTTCCACAATCCCTGTTGCACTCTTGGTGATCAGTTTTTGTTGTACTATTCACCCTTTTCCTTGCAGTGCAGGTAACGGCATTCACTGCGTGCGCAGGTTGAGGAGCATCTGCAGGAAGCTGAACCACGACTTGAGGGCGTTGAGGCAGGCGCGCCGGTCCAGGGCGCCGAAACCGCGCGCGCGGAGTTGGGCGCCGCGGCCGCGGGCGGCGAGCATGACGCCCAGACGCTGGCGCCGCAGCGGGCCGGGCTCGGCCAGCCAGGGGCCCTCGAAGGCGCGCGTGGCGACGCTGGCGCGGCACGCGGCCAGGCGGTCGCCCGCCTCGAAGAGCGGCGCGAACACCAAGACGAGCGGCGCAGCCGTGCCCACGGCGAACGCGTCCGTCGTGCCGCCCACGAACTGGCGGCAAGGTCAAAACTCATAAGGCTCAGTCAAAAATTTAAAAAAAAAAAGCTGTAAAAATTCAGAATTTAGACAATTTTGTTTTGTATTTTGTAGATTCCTAATCATTTTTTTGGTTAGTAGGGCAATTCTTTGAGGAATCAGCAAGCTCCAAAACATGACTGCCGCCGATCCTGGTAAAACTTAATTACATGGATGATTACCTACTTGTTCCTTACTAAGAAGTGACATTTGGTTTGGGCCAAACATCTCCCGTCATCGAGATATCGAACGATATCGATTTCAGCTTACAACTCCGAAATCGCTTATAAAAACGTCTATAGCTCGGAAATCGTTTGAGATAACTCAAATCCGGGAAACGGTTGGAAAGAGGATAGAATTCTACACAAAATAAGATTTTTTCCGAAAATTTTTGAAAAAGTCAAGTTTTTGCTAGGTTTTGCTGAAATATGAAAATTAGCGTCAAACTTTAGTCCGGCGATCAAACCAGGCATACTATAGCTCAAAAGATAGCTCCATCCTTCCTACAAACGAATATACCAACCACAAAAGACATTTTTTTTTCGTTTCCGAGTTATCTTAATAATAATTCTCCTGAAACCCTGCAAGCGCCTGTGGCGGCGGGATACCCGAGATAAAATTTCTCCAGGCAACTTTGAGCAAAGGTGAGCAGGGGTCGAGCACAGCCCGAGCCCTGCCCGGCACCCGGTGGGCAACTACCGGGCAACACCCGGGCAACACCCGGGCAACTCCGGGCAACATCCGGGCAACACCCGGGCAACTCTGAGCAACTATCGGGCAACTTTGGGCAACTGTCCGGCTTGTTGAGGCATCACCCGGGCAAAGCCCCCAGCGGGCAAAAGTGCGCACCAAGTGACTCCAGCGCAGCGCGGCGCCCGAACTGCGGCTGCTTGGCCAGAGCGCCCAGCCCGGCCCGCCACCATGGAGACACACTACCAGATAGTGTGTCTCCATGCCGCCACCCTGAGCATGGGCCGGGTGGCGGCCCGGACCGTCAGAGGAGCAGGCCGTCGCACAACCCGCTCCGATCGGCACCACGCTTGGCTTCGGCTGCGTAGCCGAGCTCGCAACGCGCTGGCTCGCTGCGAGCGGCGGTCGGTTCGATGCCAGGCAAGGCAGCGCGCCGCTCGGCAGCCATCCTTGTCTAACCCACTAGCCGCCCTGAGTGCGAGAGAGATGCAAGATGTGCTCGTTTGTCGAGCGTCGAGCGCCGCCATAGGCAACCAATCTCACAGTGCAGCCAGCTGGTTGCCTACTCCTGTCCAGCAAGGCGCGCGGCGAGCCACCCTTACGCGCGGCGGCGGGAGAGGGAGGGGTGAGGTGAGCGTCTGCCCACCTCTGCCTCCCTACCCCTCCCCTCTCACCCTCCCCGCGCTGTGCGTTGGTTGAAATGGAAACAAACACCATGTTTGAAACGAAAAGGTTTGTGATGCTGCGGCCGTGTGATATTGACGTTGAACTTCTCACGTATCTTTATCACAATTTCGTGGCTCGCTTTATCCTTGCCCAGCGGTTCTCAACCTTGGGGTCACGAAAAAATTTCGAGGGGTCGCGGCGAGGTAACTGGGGTCGCTTGGGGTGGCGGCGGTTTCCCAGCTGGCCCACACGCCGAGCACTGGCGGGAACAACTTTTAAGTTGATCAAAACGGTCACAAATGTCTTTGAAAAATCGTGTTTTGGGCCGACTTTAGGCATCCACTGCGTCTGATCCGAGGCGGTACTTCGTCCTCCCTCAACGGGCAATTGGTCTTTGGACCTTCCTTTAGCATGCCTTTGTTACGGAGTTCGATTATCTGCCTTAGTTTGGGAGCAGTATTGCCGCATAGTTGATCAAAACGGTCACAAATGTCTGAAAAATCGTGTATTGATCAACTTTGCGGCAATACTGCTCCCAAACTAAGGCAGATAATCGCACTCCGCAACAAACGCATGCTAAAGGAAGGTCCAAAGACCAATTGCCTGCTAATGGAGCACGAAATACCGCCTCGGATTAGACGCAGTGGCTGCTTAAAGTCGGCCCAAAACACGATTTTTCAAATACATTTGTGACCGTTTTGATCATTTTTGCTGCAATACTGCTTCGAAAATAAGGTGGATTATCGCATTTTGTATCAAAGGCATGCTAAAGGAGGGTCACGTGGGGTCACGAAATTTTTCCTGGGGGTC